ATTTTGTATTTATTTCTTTTCTTATAAATATATTCTTTCTGTTCTATACTTTTACTTTAGATTTAAATATATTCAAATAATAAATTATAAGTTATAAATTAAAATTATTCATATTATATTTTATCTTATTTATAATTATTAATAAAATAATTTTATATAATATAAAAGATATAAATTAATTTTATATTAAGAATAATAAAAATAAAATTTATTATTTTATTTATTATAAAATAATTAACTTATATATGGTAACAATAAAAAATAATGTAATACTTAAATTTTTTACTAATTATAATTAGTAAAAAATTTAAGCATTACATTATTTTTGATTATTACTATATATAATAATAATTTTAAATATATTTAAAGATTTTTAAATATATAATATAATTAAAACTAATCTTTAAATCAGTATAAATATATTTAATTAATATCTATATAATTAAATTATTAATAAATTATTATCTAAACTATTTAAAATTATTTAAGAGTTAATTTTAAATATAATATTAATAAGATTATTTTAATTATAAAATATAAAAAGATAAAATAATAATATAAAAATATTTTTCAAATAAAGATTTTGATTTTTTAATATTAATATATAAAAAAATAAATTATAAAAATTATATTAATATCTTGAAAAAATTTTTTAAAAAAATTTAATAATAAAGATTATTAATTTTAAAATAATAATACTTTAATTTATATTATTAATATTAAATATTAAATTAAAAAAACTTAATAATTAATTATTTTAATTATTAGATTTAAATCTTATAGAGTATCTATAAAATAAATTAGAAAGATAATTAAAAAAATATTTATTAAGATCAAAAAATAAATAAGAATTATTTTTTTTGCTTTATAATAAAAATAAAATAGTATTTTATTAAATAAATATTTTTTTGTATAATAATTAATATTAATTTATTAACTAACTTAAAATCTTTAGTAATTATTATTTTTAATTTGATTAATTTTAAATTTTTTTTAATAATTTTATTATCTTGAATTAAAGTTAGAATTTTATTATTACTTAAAATCTTTACTTTATATTATTAAATTAATATTAATATATTTATTTACTAAAAATAAATCATCTAATATAAGTTAATTGATTAAGTTTTAAATTATTTTATTATTATAATTATTATTTAATAGCAAATTGAGAAAAGTATTAATACTATTAATAATTTGATTTAATAATAAGATATCTATATATATTTTTAAACTTTTTTTATGAAATAAATTGTATTGATTAAATACTAAAATATATAACTTAATAAATATATTATAAATATTTATTCTATTTTTATTAAGAAGTTAATAATATTTCACTTAATAAAAAATATTAGTATATTATTATTAAATTTAATAAAATAAATTACTTATCTTAAATAAATATATAATTCTTATATTACACGATTAATTATATGCACAATAACATTATTCAGTGAAAGCAAAATATGATATTACTCCTTCTACAAGTCATTATTGAGCTTGATAAGCCAATGATTGAAATTTCTAATTATATTTACCTATTTGAATTTCAATAATAATAAACAAATAGATCTTTTTGATCAATATTGCATATATATTTTGAATTCTATATTTGTGAATAAAAACTGGTGTAAGCTGTTGCATTATATATTAGCAGAATTATAATATGATCTTTAGATTTTTTTGTTTCTGAAACTAAATGGCAAGCAAGATTCTTGAAGAGTTCCAATTTCCAATACAGAGTGATTTCATTACAATTAAAAACATTGTCTAACTCCCATATAGACTTTGGAGGTCACTGCAATATTGTGACAAGTCTTCCAGAGGTGTCAAGTTTGCCTCGCCATCTCGAATATACTCACAAATATTATAACGCTTTTTAAAGCAGTCAAATCATTCGTGAGAGTCTTTGAAGTTTTTTATTTTAAGATGTTCTGCTAAAGCTGCAGCTTTTGCAATGACAACGTGTCCAGACAATATTTGGTTGTCATTTGTTGCCTGGCCAATCCAAATAGCCAAAGTTTGTTCAATTTTGGTGATCTTTCATAATGCAAAATATGCAGTGTAGTCATTTGGTTCTAATGCCAGAAATTAGGATATCAGAGATCATTGCTTCGCCAATACCATACTGTGAAGCCAGCTGGTTGTTCTTTATGTTTGAGTTTGAGTTTTTCACTTTGCAAATCTCAATTTTTTGGCTAACTCGTTTTCTTTTAGTGTTCTCTTTGACAGATGTTTTCAAATATTTAGAGGAACCAGTAGAAGCATTTTCGTCCTTCCATAGTCGCTTTGAAGTAGTAGAACGGTTACTGTCACTATAGTCTTCATGTATCCTAAAGACCACCATTTCAACACTGTATTTTTATTGGTAAAAATATTTTCCTTCAGATAACAAAAGGTGGTCTTCGGTTAATTCGGTTACATCGAAAAGTTTCGGTTTAACAGGGTAAATTTGTTACTGCTGTTTTTAAGAAAATCTTCGGATACGGTTAACATAGAGTTTCATATTAAACTTCGGTTATTTTTCATATGAGTGGAAACGGATTTTGAAAATGCTTCGTTATAACGGGATATTCGGTATAACGGGTTACCTTTGTATTTTTAATAGTTCATCTTTGGATTATTAGGGAATTTTGCGATTCATACAAAAATTTCAAATTTTTCAGATATAAAATTCAGCAAAAAGGTCTCTAAAAAAATGTTGCACTAGATAGATATAAAGCAAGCTATTCGTTTTCATAACATTTTTTTAGCTGACAAAATCGTTATCGTTTTTATTTTTCGGATTTTTCGAATTTTTAGTTAATTAATTTATAGCAATATACATATACATGTAGCATGGATGCCTTAACGCAGATAATTCCGCCATAATTAGGCAAATTTCTAAAGAGAAAATATTTCTTTATTAGAAACAACCAAGTTAAAAAAATGATTTTTGTAAAGAATTTAGTTTACTTGGGCATCAATTTAAAATTTAAAGAACTTGCTTCATGAATTAAAAAAAAATAAAACTTTATATATTCGATTTTTGCGCGGCATTTCCTGTACTTTAGTTGGCATGTCTTCTCTTTAAACTGCTAAAAATCTTACCCAAAAAACATTCCTTCATCTGCCAATTTTCAATTCCAAAAACGCTCACTCGCAGAATCACAAGACTATAAATCACAGCCCACAAAAAAATCACAACAAACTTCCAACCCGGCGTTCTTGGCCAATAATACCGTTTCTCGATTGGTAAAACATTCATATCATGTGTTTCCAAATAAATATAAAAAGCGTATAACGGGAAAGATATCACATATGTAAAAGTCGACAAGGACACTCTGCAACAATTAAAAAAAAAGATCGCAATGAGCTTATTAATAACACATAAAATTCTGAGCAAGTGTAAAATTACATCGGTCCCAGATCAGGAAACACTGCCACAGCCGAATCCCCAAAAAGATGCAACATCGAAGACAAGATTAGTATCCATAATTGTTTTGGGTGCTCGAGTGTCTTTGGAAGAAGTGGCTGCAATTGCGATGAATTCGATGTTGATGCTGTAGAGGACAGAGTGACACTTCCAATTTTTGAGATATCACTCACAGTCAAAGAAACTTTTCGCGGGAGGCTATTAGATTTGAGCGCTTCTTTTTTCTGCTTTTTTGATGACTTGTATAATATTCTGATAAACATTATTGATAGAATTAAATCCAAAACTAATTCTGTAAAAACATTAAGTTAAAATCAAATAAGCCACAATTTTTAATAAAAAAAAAAATAATAATGAAAAATAAAATACCTTGTCCTCTAAATAAAACGGCATCCCAAGGCCACCTCAAAAAAACCACAAAACATATCACCACCCAAGAGTGCATCCACAACAACACGAAAAACAAATCAGTCTTTATTCGTCCGCCATCCTTCATCAGCAATACAATTGCAAACTCCAAACTATTTTGAAATATTCCGACCGGTGCAAACAATTTCGAACGATCCACAAAAAAGCTCGTTAGAATCGCGTAGAATGTGACGAGGCAGTAGATTGAAAGCAATTTATTGAAAAGCGTGGCTGGTGTGGACGCGATTCCATTTTGAAAGTAGGTAATCGTGTTTCGTGGTTGTCTGTAGAAAATGCTCCAGTAGATGGCGAGATGTGATGTTATTCCGGTGAGAAGGATTGCGCAGAGGTCAAGTGTGTCTTGTTGGTATTCGTCATAATCTACTCAATGATGATGTTAATTTATATTCTAAGAGATTGGCAAACGAGTTAATAAAAATACATGCTTTTCAATTCCGAATGCCATGTCAAAACGTTACTATGTCGTGCTTTTTCTTGCGTTGTCGAGATATTCGGCACCAGATTTACAGGAAATGTCAAGAGGACAAAGATCAGAACCATCAACGTTCCAAGGGCCGTGACAAGTGAGCTTGTAAAATTCAAAATTCGTTTAACTTTCACTGTTGCCATATCACACGATGATGATGATGATGATGATGATGATAATAATGGGAAAAATTACTTTCAGGTGGTAACAAAGCCATCATCGTGTCGTGTTACTTAAATAAATCGATATACTGATATAATTTCGTTTTAGATCATGTCCATAACCTCATTGAAGTTTCCATAATAAAATGATAAAGAGGCTTTCAATTAACGTTACGGTAACGAATTAATTCGGTCAGTTAGTTAATTGCACACATGATGAATAGATTTATACAGTGAAAAAAATGATTTGTATGTAACACCGCCACGGCACTATTTTTCTTGAAACAGAGGAGGCGCAGTTTTTGATTGGTTCTATTATACATGTGCAGTGTTGGTATAGCTAAGACGAGTTTTTTCCTTACATGTCAAAAGATTTGCTTGGCTTGTATGCAGCTATAAAGTTAACGCACATAACTGTTGTGAAAAGAAAGCACGTAAGTTTTTGTTTTAAGATCATACATGTATTTGACTGTAAAATCTCTTTTTTCCTATTGAACCTCCTACATCATACACCCCAAATTTTATATTTAAATCATTGCTAACTAAATAAAAGCAACAATAATGGTCATCCCATCACTCTGTTTCGCCAATAGATCGCATGCATTAATATTTCGATCTCTCGCAGAAACAATCACAATTGTTTTTTCTATTGCATGAACTCAATATTACAACATCATTAAAATAGATCCAACGAACGATCTCCCATTGCTTCAATTTCCTTTCCCCCATGTTCTACTAAATCACTATATATAAATCATTACAATCCCATAAATCATAAGCCCTAGAATTTCTATACAAAAAAATAAATTGATTATAATGATTGATATTGATATGAGAGAAAAAATAAGGGGGGAAGAGAGGAGAGAATAATCACGAATATATAAGCGGTCGTTGCTGCAGACCTTTGAGCATCGTTTAAATTTGTCAAACTTCAATAAATCAATCGACCAAAAATAATTTACGAGTCTTTTTTTATCATATTCAAAGATGAATGCTACTAAAGATGGCTCAATAAACTCAAACACTAAAGTGGAAATTCATTACTGCAACAATATCATCAAATCTAAAAATAGTAACAACACAACAACATCTCTTTACATAACTGAACGCTACCCAGAGTGTTTTCTAAAAACAACATCACAACAGCCGCAAACAACGGAGACAGACACCTTAAGATCATCCAAACCTACCGATATATCAACATCAGTCAACGAAAACTTTGTTTTTGGATGTCAAACAAAAATCGAGCTTAACGATAGTGATAATAACAACAACAATAATAATAATAATGATAACTCGAAATTCGTGCGACGTAATAAACATCGTCGAAATAAAAGTGTTTTGCTGGAGGCGATTTTTGAAGAAGATTTTTTGGAAAAGCATTAAGTTCACTTATGTTAGCCTTTTGACAGTATAATCTCAAGTACTTTATTATTATATAGCTGGTATTTTTAAATTCTTTTTAGATTATTTTACTTTACCCTTAATATCGAAATAATCAGATTAATTATTATAATTGTAATCACGATTTTGCTTTAAAATTCCTCAGAGCATTTATTAAATCGCTCTAAATACTCTATATAATACAAATACAAAGGATCGATTTATTATATTATTCTACTTATGTAAGGTCTATTCGAGATTGAAAAGGAGAGGTAGTTTACAATAAATTTTATTATTCCCCAACGCAATATTTTTTAATACACGGAAAGAATGACTTCAGGAGCGAACAAGATAGTTTAGTCGCTGATGGTGAATGGATGGCTATAGGAGACTTGTTTACCGATTTCACCAATCTTTTTATGAAAAGCAATGAAGAATTAATAAAAAATTTTAGGAAAGGTCAGGAAAAAAAGTTGTATGTTGTATTATTAAACTTACTTGGAGAACGTAGTCGTTACCAGCTGGCAAACTCTTTGGAACTCTGAATCTGAAGAGACGTTTGTTGGCATTGATGCTTGGGTTTATGATCATGACGTGATCGAGATTTGCTGGATCACCCTTACGTAAAGCAATCACAGTTTTCTTGACGTCAGGTTTTCCAAGGTTAAGCCATCTGATAGTGGCGAATGAGCCTTTATGCCAGACAGTTGCTATTATATAAATAAATAAAAAATTATTAGCAAAAAAAGTGTGTACTATATTCGAAATCAAACTTGAAGATAACGTTTGAATTGAATAATTACGGGCAGTGGGGTTTGTGATTTCGTAGTCAGCTGACGCGACAACGAACAAAAAGGCGAACAAGAAAACAAGGTAAGCAGTGAATTTAACCATTTTATTTCTGGTAATGGATGTTGATGATGATGAAGATGTAAAGGATGATTTAGAGAAAGAAGGAAGAGGGCTTCTAAAAAGAAGGAATTATGGCTTTTGTTGGGGAGATGACTGTTATTTTCGAAGGAGTTGATGGCTGTTCTTTTATACATTTTTTCGACCCTGTTAAACAATATGCTCGTTGCATTATTATTAGGTGTATAGATAAGCTTTGTTTTGATTAAATTTTATTACATGTTATCAATTCAAGTTTAGTTTTTGACAATAAATTTTTAATTTGCTAAAGGTATGTACGTATAACGATAAACAACACATGTACACGAACGAAATCTCGTGCATGCAATTTACCTTATTACAAATTTTCCTTGTTGGCGCACCAATACCCAATTGTGAATCTACATCACATACATGCAACATGGTTACAAAATACGGATCTGATGGCGATTGTGATGTTTATGGCCCGAAAAAAATAAAATAAATTCGTCCAATACGTCTACTGGGAAGCAGATGAAAATTAATGTGTCACCACGTTCGATGCTGTCTGTGCAGTTCGGAAAAATTTTTAATTTTACCATTTACATAATACATGTACACACTATGTGCATGTAATTCGACGAGCGCGACTCGGAGAAAAAAAAGTTAAAACGTACGTATTTGTTGAATTCTGGGGACTGCAATATCATCTTACCATATGTCTAGGTAGCTTTTTTTTTAGCTTAATGTGTTAACCGCATTCAAAATTTTATATATTGACGGAAAGTTACTGGTATTTTTGTGTTGCACGCACCTTTGCGTTGTATGCTATTTAATTGAGATAAAAGTATCTCGCATGCTGTCTAATGGCAAGTAGCTTCTTCAGCTATAAACGATTGTTATGAGGTTGATATTATCGAAAAACATACCTGTATTTGTTAAAAATTCAATTTATATATTTTTGACAATAAATTTACACAACGAAAGTTTGCAACAAATAGTAATACATAGGAATTTTAATAGTCTTTTAAAATACGTAATCTTTTTTCGTAAGTAAAAATGATAAAAGATTAGATATGTTTTAAGATTTCGATATTACATTTGACAATAACGTATATTTCATTGATACAATTCATATGGAAAAGTACACGGAATGTTAGAAATCTCTATATTATAATCTATGCTAACATTCATTTCATATCTGAGCTTTGATTTGGGCTTTAACAAAGAAAATAACGTTTTTATCTATATAATTTTCAATTTCATTATCGTTTTCTTCTACCAAATCAATGAATTCGTTAATCTCTAAATCGTCAGATTTGTTTTCAATATTAGCGTCCAACGCCGCCAGTATTAGCATTAAAATTCTCGTCAACAACATTAAATTCTTCTTGTCTATACATGTGTCAGTGAGGCAACTTGAATTTTTTATTATTTTTTAATAAATAAAATATATATTTTTTTATATATAAAGATTTTTAATTTTATAATAAATTTTTTTTAACTTAAAAAATAGTTAAAATTCTTTAGTTTAATATATATTTTTTTAGAATTTTCAGATCTTTATTAAAAATTTATTTATATTATATATGAAATTAATTAATTTTATATATAGTTTCCAGTAAAATATCTGAAAAATATATTTAATTAGAAAATTTTGTAAATTAATAATAAAAGATTATAATTAATAAAAATTTAAATATTATATTAATTTTAATTATTCTTATATATGTAAATATAATTAGTATAGAAAGTAATAATAAATATGTTTTTTATCTATAACTTAATAAAAAATTGTTAAAACTTTATAAAAATTTGGTATTATATTCTTTAAAATAATAAAAATAAAATTTTCTAAGATCACAAAGTATATTAATATAGTAATATTTTGTGAAATCACATACTAAAAAGGGCAGACTGAAAGGCTATTCTGGTTAAAGTGCTATAAAAAATTATTTTTTATAAGTAAGTATGAAAATAAGTTTATAAAAATTTATTTAAAGATATAAAAAATATATTTATAATTTAAAAAATCTTTAGTTGATATTTATTAAATAAATAGCAGCCAAAAAAGGCTTAATTTTGATAAATTTTACTATATTATACTATATTTTATTATGAAATTTATCGAAATTAAGTTTTTTTTTGATTGATATTTATTCAATAATTATTAACTAAATTTTTTTTTAAATTACAAATATATTTTCTATATCTTTATCTTTAAATAAATTTCTATAAAATTCTTTCATATTTACTTACAAAAAATATTTTTAAATAATTTTTTATAGCAATTTAATTAGAATAGTCTCACAGCCTGCCATCTTTAGTATGTGATTACATAAAATATTACTATATTAACATGCTTTGTGATTTTAAAAAATTTTATTTTCATTATCTTAAAAAATATAATACTAAATTTTCATAAATTTTTAGCAATTTCTTTTTAAGTTATAGACAAAAAACATGTCTGCTATTACTTTTTATACTAACTGTATATTATATTAAATTTAATTAATATTATTTTTTTTAAATATTTTTAATATTAAAATTTAGAATTTATTAAAAATAATTTTATCTCTATATTAAAATATTTTAATATGTATTTTTTAAATTATCTTAGATTTTTTATAAAAATATTATTTTATTTAAAATCATTATATAAGTATTTTAAAGAACAAATTTTTATAATAACTTTGCAAACTAGAATAAAAATTTCAGAAAAATATGTTAATTAAACTTTATAAACTTTATTTTAATATAAAAATAAAAATTATTTCTTAATAAAATTATAAACTTTGATATAAAGAAAATATTTTAATTTTTATTATATACTATATAATTATTTTTATATTTAATAAATAATAATTAACTTTTATAATTATTTCTAATTATATATTTTCTCACTTTTATTATAAAAAAATTTTTCTTTAAAAAGTTAAATAATTGTTATTTATTCTTTATATATAAAAATTAATATTTAGTAAATTTCATATTTTGCAAAATAGTCTGTTTAAAATCTCAGTTTTTTTTAATATAAATATCTTTTCTTATATTAAAATATATGTTTTAAAATTTAATAATTTATATTTAAAATAAAAATCAAAATTACATTACTTTATTTTAATTCAAATGATTTTTATTTAATTTCTTATATAAGTTACTTATAAAAAATTTGCTAATCATACTTTAAATAAATTTATTTAAAGGCATATCAGATTTTAATTCTTTTTTTATTTATTTTAAATATATAATAAAAAATACTTATTCATTATATTTCTTGAATTTTATAATTTAATAATTGTATTGTAATGATAACTAATAAAATTATAAAATTAAGAAGTTAATTTTGTTAATAATATATAGCAAGAACAAAGTATCTGTTTTTTACATTACCAAAATAAAATTTATAAGAAATATAGTTATTTATCTTCTTTTTCTTCACTAAATTCGATGTCAATATCATAATATTTATTTGTATCAATTGGATTTTGAAGTAGAAACTGCATCATTGTACTGTTGTTTTTCATCGCTTTATCTTCACTAAATTCGATGTCAATATCAGAATATTTACTTGTATCAATTGGGGTTACTGATTTTGAAGTAGAAACTGCATCATTGTGTTGTTGTTTTTTGCTCATCTCTTTATCTTGTTTTTTCCATTTCTTCTTTTCTAATTTAAAATTCTTTTTAATTTTTGAATAAATATAGTAATTGTGTATTTTTGAATAAATATAGTGACGTTTTTTATTTTTTAAAAAACCGTTGCATTGAAAATGCAATTCATTTAGCAATTCAAACGAGAAGTCTGCTGGATGACGGATTGTAAAGAGAAAGTCGTAAAGTTCCTTAGCACTTGGTCTTTTTTCTGGATTAGGATCCCAACATTTTTCAATAATAAATTTGCACCATTTAGGCACAGTATTTGGTATCGGAGGTCGTACTCCTTTGCGGATATCTGATGCAAGATCAATTCCATGACTTCGTTCACCAAATGGTCGTTCACCAGTAAAAATTTCGTACATAATCATCCCCAAGCTATATATATCTGCTGCTTTAGTATACGGTTTTTCCTCTAACACCTCTGGGCACATATAAGGAAGAACTCCGTAAATTCCTTGATTAGGTTTTTTTAGATCTGCTGGGCCGGTAAGTCCAAAATCAGCAATTTGAGGTCTATCCAAGAATATTAATATATTTCCAGGATGAAAGTCACGATGTACAAAATTTTCTCTTTGAATTTTTATTAGATCATTGATAATTGAATATAAATAAAATAATTTTTTATTCCAAGTGAATTTTTCATAATTGGAATTAATATATTTATGGAGATCACCATCTTCTGCATAATCCATTACTATGGCATATTCATTTGTATCTAGTTTTTTAGTTATCCCGTAATAATTTAAACGGCGAAAAACATATTTTATATCATTAATAGCGGTAATAACTGAGTTTATAGCTGCCAGTGAGCCTTGAAGCATAAACTTCATGGAAATTGAAGTCAACCAATTACGTAAATTGAAAATTACATCATCATAACCAAAACGATTGCATTTTAGAGCAGTCTGAATCTATTTTTGAAAGATTGATATTATAAACAATGACTTATTAATCTATTTTTTAGAAAGTGTTCTTACCTCATTAATAAACTTCTGAGTAATTTGATTATCTAAACATTTTAACACAACTTTCCTTTCTCCTCTTCGCATAAAATCATTTTTTTCATGATCCCAATGGCTATTTGATGGTCCGTCCAACCATGTTGCTTTATAAATTGACCCAAAACCTCCTTTTTTAAGAAACTCAAGGTTGGCAAATCTTTCAAAAGGGATCCATTCAAATAATTCATCTTTTTTAATTACTTTGTTGCATTCTTTTATTAGATTATTGACATCATTATCTTTATTAGAAATTTCAGAAATTTGTCTGTGATAAGAGAAACACTCACTACAACTAACTTTTTTTACACGACAACGCAAACATTTATTACAATCATGCGATTTCAACATTGAGTTCACTTTGTAAATACGTTTATTTGGAAGTAAGAGTAACGAGATAATGATGATAAATTTATTATCGCTATCACTATGTTAATAATGTAATATGAATTAGTCAAAGCAATACTCCCATTCCAGGTAATCCTAGTGCTGATCTTCCCTATCTATGAGAATTTTAAAATAAAAAAACAGGAAAATTAGCTAGACGGCTGGCCTATTTATACTTTTTTGAAATGAGAAAATTTATTCCAAGTTTTGATTGGTTCTTATTGGTGAAGCTAGCCAATCAGAACTTGGAGGGTAAATTAGTGAAACCATTATAAATTAATTATAAATATTTGTGGAGAATCAACTCCGTTCCTAACCTGGAATTCATCTAAATGTTCAATGTACAAAGGAGTGCGCAAATTTTCGTCAATAACCAACAAATTTTTTTATCGACAAATCCAACTCAGAAAAGTAATACATGTACTGTACTGTTACAGTCAATTAATTTAGTAACGAATTACGGATTTTAATATATATGAATTATGAGTGGAATAGGTAAATAACAAGAGGTATTGAGCAAAGAAATTAAGGGAGTTTCTAAATTACTCGAAGTAAGGGGATTGTATGTTCTATTCTATTAATTCTAATCGCTATTTAACGGAAAGCCTAACACTAATTGATTGATCAATTAATCCGTTGCCTTTTCTGGATCAAGGATCTAACCAGCACATTGTCTTTTCTGGCACAAAGATCCTAACCAATACGTTTGTCTTTTCTGGTGCAAAGATCCTAACCAATCTATATTGAGATTACAATTACGATTGCAACGATTACGACGCCTTTACAAAGGGTGTGATTAGTTAATTATTTTAGGAAGAATTGTACGCAATTACATTTGTTAATATCGTCCTTACTACTACATCATTACTGAGTCTTTTTATAAATTTGCATGCTATAAATAAACTACAATCCAATAATTATACTATCAAAGTTCAAAGTAACTGAAAATTCGATAAAATTATGCAGAAATCTTCCACAAATTATTACCCATTTGTCATAGACATTGAACAAACAATTATTCGATCTATTATGCGTGCTGAAATTATACGATTAACTATCTTGGGAAAGGGCTATTATCATGCGATTTTAAGTGCAGAAAACTACTCTCGTAATTTTTCCGGAATTAACAAATTTAACGAATAATGGTAACAGTACATGTATTACAAGAAAACATGCATAAATCTGTCTTGGACTACACGTATTAAATAATAATGTGGGGAAGGCGTAATGAAAATTTGATCTACCATTTCTCCAAGATACATGTATGGGTGTACTAATAAAAACCAATTTTATACATACATATAGTTAACTGAATATAACCGGTTATAATAAAATCGTTTATAACCGGTTATAATAAAATCGTTTATAACCAGCTACAAATATATCTAGTTTTTCTATAAAAAAATCATGAGCCAGTTAATAGAATATTTACATTATAGAAAGCATGCATAATCAAAAGAATCTATTGAAAAATTAAATTTTAAAAAACTTTATGATCAAATTTAAAAATTCTGTAACTTTGAGACGCGATATCTCGACATCCAACGGTCCAATTTGGACAATAATAGAATCATTAGTTCAACTAAACTAGAAAAATCCAATCCTTCTATTTTCGTACAAATTGGAACCGTTGGAAGTCGAAATATCGTGTCACAAAGTTGCCGAATTTTTTTAAATTTAATCATGATACTGAGCTAGACGTTTTTTGATTTGCAGAATTTGCAGTAATTACTGCGGCGAAATGCTACACTCTAGTCCAAAGTAAATGAAATGATTACATTGATTTATTCATTTATGAAACTATATAAACTATAAATATTCATAAATAATATAAATTTAATAAGAGTAGTACACGTGTAAATACAAAGAAATGAAATCACTTTTGGTTCGTATTAAGAATTTGTAGCTTTTCTTACAAATCACTCGATACTAGAGTTGTAAGTAATAATTACGGACATTTCGGATTACAATCCTGATTATAACCGAAGTCAATAGTTGTAAAAAGTCGTACTGAAGTTGTAATGCGTTAATACGTAATTAAATTCTAGTTTGTAATTAAAATTATCGTCATCATTATTTTAACCTGTTGTCCGTATAAATTCTTTTTGCTGTTAATTTGTTATATTGCTATGTATAGTAATTTTTAATTATTAAAAATTATATGGGCGTAAATACAAAAAAATTAAAATTAATTATCTTTTGGTTCGTGTTAAGATCAGTTATCCATAATTTTATTTTGCAAGTCACTCGACACATCCTCACTTTCCAGATCTGTTTTGCACCATCAAGAAAGAAAAGGCTGAATCAAAGAAATCAACGAAAATTATAGTTTACCTTCGTATAGAACAAACAAACGGACACATGTAGAACCTTAATATTCGATATAACCTTAATATTCGATATAATTTTATGATTGATATTTAGTAATCTTAGTAATAGAAATTATTGTACCAGTAGGAATTGGAATTGAAAAAATTTGTGGTAAAAATTTGACTGTAAATTGCATTTGGATGGATTTGTCCTTTATTTATCCATCTTATCTCTTTAAGTTTTTAAAATGTATCAATAGAATTTCTTCATCTCTGCTAAATCTTTCACCATTATCATTACTTAATTTGACAATTGTACCAAAAGATTCTTGATTTCGTAATCCAATTTGCTCATAATCAAAAATCAATTGGGTCTTCTTTTCCAACTCGGGAATTTGAAATGCCACAAACTTTGAAAGATTTTTGAATAAGAAAAGTATCAACTTGATTCCATGCATCATGAATTCATTGGGCAATTAAATTGTAAGGTGGACGTTGAATTCGACCCGTTTTCATATAGTTTTTAACACCGTTAGACATCCATTCATTATAATAATGACGAATCTATAAATAAGTTTAAATAATACAATGCATATAATTTAATTTATGAATAGTTAGTTACCTTTGTTTTAAATGATTTATTGATAGAAACATCCAAAGATTGAATTTTAGAAGTTAATCCACCTGGAATCACAGCAATAGTTGTATTTTTTTCTCTAAAGCGACGAGTAACTGAATTAACAATATGGCCTGAAAAAAAATCCAAACTAGAAGAGAACAGGGATCAATTAAAAATTTGGCACGCTGGTTCCATATGTTTTCAATCCAAAAAATCATTTCTTCTTCATTCATCCAGCCTGTTGGATTTGCTCTTATGATTACACCTGAATGAAATTCTTGTCATGGCACTTTGGATAATTTAAAAATTATCATTGGAGGTAATTTGGTTTCGTCTGCCATACATGCTAGTACAACGGTAAAGCATGATTTTTCATGTCCACATGTTCGAATTGAACCGTATGTATATCCATTTCATCAACAGTAATATTGGATGGCAAATCAAAAGACAAAGGAGTCTTATCCATATTACCAATTAAGTTCAAAGGAAAGTCATATAACATTCTTTTGTGAAGTACAAAGCTGAGCTGCTGTTCTGAGCTGTTTTTCATAAGATCCTAAATGTTGTGCTATTGTAGTACGACATCGAAGACTAAAATTGTGGTGGTTCATAAATCCATCAATCCATTTACTGGAAAATACAAAATCATTAATGTCTGGATAGATATTAATATATTCAGATTTTTTTTGCCAACACTTTTGCATGTAGTTGAATCAAAATATTGTGATACTGGTTTTTGTTCTTTCCTAAGTTGCTTAACCCACTCGCTCAGTTCATTTTCTAATAAAGGATATTTTTCTGGCCGACCGTTATTTAACCGTTTTACATGTGGAGAAGCTCGTAAAAGTTCTTGCCTTTTTTTGGCGCCAATCACGGATTTGCTTGGGCTTAATATTAAACATAGTTACCATAGCACGAATACTTTGTGTGGGTTGCTTTTCAATATAAGCTAAAATGGTGAGTTTTTCTCGTACATTCCAATGACGTCTTTGTTATTTGGTAATTTGGGCTTGGATAGCTTTTTTTACCAGCTCTTGGACGCATTTTTATTTGAAAAAAGTATTGAATATGTTAAATGCATAAAAAGAAAAAAGAAATCGTCAGTGGAAAAAAAGGTAAATCATAGACGCGTCTTAATGATCTGAATTTGATTCTTCTCTTGTGTATCCCCCTTTTGTATACCCGCTACCTTACACAGTACCTCTCGGGGTACACAAGCATTTTTCACCCCTTAAAATTGATTAAGATACGGTACATGTAGTATTAGTAGTACATGTAATGTAGGGGTCGTAATGATAACACGTTTTGTTTGGTTGTGCACAAACTGTGCATTATTGATGTACAGTATTTACAAAGTTAACTAATGTAACTAGCGGAATAGCTACAATTGCATATCAGTTAATTTTCTTTACAATAGCATATTACTTTCATGATAAATGTAAGAGTTTGAGATTGTTTTATATGATGATAAAATATTTATTGCTCATGAACTTTCTATGTTTATAGTCACAGAAGTTTCAGGTATTATTTAATTAGTTTTTTTTAGTCAAGCTATGCCTGAATTTATTTTGCTTTTATTTTAGGAGGATCGAACTTTGCGGTTCTTGCAATTGTAACTATTGTTCTCGGCCAGGTAAACTGATAATTGGTAGAAGATTTGTTTATAATTCTTATGTCAAATATATTTATCTATTTAGGAATATTACACTCGACAAATAATTGCTACGCTATTTCAAATAACATGAGGCTTTTTGTTTCATTTACATATACTTATCCGCTGTAATGCTAAATTACGCTAATACTAATTATGATTTACAAATAATAATTATTAAAAAATAAAGGTTCATATAGATTGAGAATTTTTCTTTAAATTTTTACGTGAAGCCCAGAAATTTCGGTTATGTAATTTTTCAAAACTTCAACCGATTATATCACTTCATAGCAACCACCAAATACATGTACATGTACAGTACCCACAGAAAGTATCGCCCGATGCAAAATTAAAAATAAAAATTTAGACCATTTTTCAATTTATTTAATTTACGTCAATTTATACACCAAATAAAAAATAAAATTTATTTAATATTTAATTGGCCCTCCATTTGACTCCAATATTGCATTAATTCTTCGTGGCATTGATGCAGTAACCCGTTCTAAAATGGTCACATCAAGTTTTTCCCACCATCTTCAGTGCAATTTTAAGTTCGTCCACAGTCGTCGGAAAATTCTCATTTTTTTGAATGTAGTCCTTTAATATTTTTCAAATGTTCTCTATTGGATTCAGGTCTGGGGAATTCGCCGGCCAATTAATAATCACGATTTTACTTTCCCTTGATTTTTCCCGCAGTATGTATCAGCGCATTGTCATGTTGAAAGATTGCGTTAATTCCCTAATTACATTCTGGAATAGAAGTGATTGAGCTTTTAAGGTTTCGAGGTAAGTATTCGCCGTTGATTTACGCCATTTTTTTATATTCATCACAAAAAATGAATGGTCCTTCCGCGAAATATCCCCAAACGATTAAAGATTTTCATCCACTTTTAAAGGTAGACGCTAAAAAATTAACGTTAAACTTTTCTCCAGGATGCCGCCAAACTCTTGGCTGCCGTGACTGCTTCCCAATTTTCACACTGGTTTCATCAGAGAAAATTATTTTCGACCAATCATAAGCTAGTTTATTTTTATTTTCTTCACACCATTTAATATGAGCATATGTATGTGAGATATAAAGTTTCTTTGCTGCGATACGCGAGTTAAGTACAGAGTTGTGCAATACATTTGCGACGGTTGATAAACTACAAGTGAGGCCTAAATTATTGACTATTTCGCGTAGTGATCATGTCGTTTTTCACTAGCTTCACGTATAAGTAAATCCTCACTTTTCTGGTTCGTTTATATTTGTCTAGAAAGCGGCGTACCGTTGTAGGGTCGCGTCCGAGTATTTTTGCGATTTGAACGGCATTTGTGGTGTCCATGTACGCCAAACTCTTCCCCTTTTCAATTTCGTTAAGCTGCGTATAGGTGGACACCATTTTTTAGCCTAAAGAAATTATAGTGTTGACGAAGTGGCAAATTATAAATAAAGTGATGTTTATTATCAAAAAAGGGAAAAAACTTGATAAATGTATTTTTAAAAAATGGTTACACATGTAAATCGGGCGATACTTTCCGTGGGTACTGCGTGTAATAGACAGTCAACCGCAAAAAATATCCGACTACTTACTAACTTTCCGTAACTCATGTGTAATTTGACAACCTTTTCAGAGCACAAAGAACAACATATAAACACTCCTTAGGCCGGAAAATTCTATATCGTGCATTGAATGTTCATCAAAAAACTTTTACGTCAGTCACTTTATTACTCAACATTTAATGGTCCGGCTCTTGACATCCAGTGATAAAATTCGCCTAGCTGAGACGAATCGAATAATAATATTCTGATTAAATCTGACACTGAATGTCAAGATATTGCAGCCAAAGTGTGATAATTTGTTATATTTTTGGCGTAGGTATTTGATGAATACCCAATTACAGATTTAAAAGTTTACCGGCCTATAAAAGACGCAAATTATTTCATTTCCAAAACTGCGCTTTAGAGCGTCTTGATTCTATTTTGAAATAAAAAAGCTTGCTTAGAGTTTAGAGGTCGATTTTACACATTTTGTTACGTTAAAATCAAGTTGTGGTCAAGATATCTTTATCAATGTCATTCACTACTCACTCACTCAGCCCAGAGTTGAATGTATTTTAGCAAAAATAGCTTTGAATGATAATGTGTCTCTGGTTAGAATAATCGTAGACGCAAATTGTACATGCAAAAAATGATCATAACTTTCTTAAAAATAAAAGAGCATAGTTAATTTTTCAGAAAAAAATTTCATCACAAAAATGTTAAAAAATGAATATCCAATAGAATCATTTTCTCATATTTCTTATTGATATTTTATTTTATTACCCATAGCTATTTGTTTGCTTGTTGATATCTCCTTTCTTACGGTCCAAATAAGTGCTGATGTTGACATGGTGAATATTTTTTAAATCTATAATCGAGGTCAATTCATAACAATATGTCTTTAATGCGGTTTTAAATTCTTTGATCATTAAGGGGGATGAAAAATAAAATATTCACTTTTAAAGTTATAATTGTATAAACTTTCACTAAAAGTCTATGTTGTATTCCTAATGATTATATTATGTAAAAGACTTGAACTTGATATTATTTATTGTGTTAGCTCTATAAAAATAAAATATAATGTAGATAATTTTGACCAAGGATTTTATTAATGAAGTCCTAAATGATATGTATGCGTATATCAGTAGATGTAGTGTATTGCTGATTTTGGACTTAGCATTTCCAATAAATATGGAAAAATCTAACCAAGAAATTTGTGGAGTACTTCCTTATATGAGTACAGAAGTGCTAAATAAAAATGTCACGAATTAATGCTGCAGATATTTATTGCTTTGGAATGATTGTATACAAAATTGCAACTGGTGAATGACCATTTAGCGAACGGAGTCATAATACGGAACTTATATTAGACATCGTCATTAAAGGAATACGACCTACGATACCAAATAATGTTCCCGAATTATATAAAATAATTATTAAAAAATGTTGGGATCCTATTCCAGAAAACAGACAAACCGCTGAGAAATTTGAAGGCTTTATCAAATCTATCAGAAATGGGTACATACAAAATGAACTGAATACTTTATATTTTCAGTAATACAGCTCTTTAAGCATCCTAAAACAGAAAGAGAAATCAGAAAGAGTGATTTTAAACTAGAAAAGCAAAAATTAGATAAACTTGATGGGTGAATGAAAATGTAAAAAAATCATTTATAATATAAACAGAAAACAACAAATCTTCCCAAATGTAATTTACACGAGTCAAATCTTTACTTCAACTGCTACAGGTAATTTTTTAGATGCATCAAACATTAGATTCACAAGGGTTAGTCTGTATGTTCCAAATGAAGGTAAATTTACATTTATGAATGAAATAAATCATCACTGTTGTTTTATGTTATCATTTTCATTTAAATCACTGTTTCAGAATTAAACAAAGAAAAAAACGCCAATCTAAAATTATGAACTGCGTAATAATAAAACAAATTAATTTTTATTGTACTTTAAAACACAAAACAGTACACATTTTAAAAAAATAGCGGCATGATAATAAATTTACGCGTAAAACATGAAGCTGAAACCACTATTGTTGTAAAATCAGTTGCAAGTTATTCAGGCGTATCCTCATTTTTTTCGATTTCGTGTGATATAATAATATCAAAGTCTGTTTCCCATAAAAAAAAACTAATGAAATTAATAATTAAAAAATTTGATGTCAATAATATCAAAGAGTTTACCTTCGTTTGGAAAATATAAATTGACACTTGTAGAGCCTAAATATTTGTAATATATTAAAATCAATCTGAAATGTCATTTTAATTGAATATAAAAATAATTGTGCGCACCTTATCAATTGGGATTAATATTAATTTTGAATTAAATATCCGACCGGTGTAAATTGCATTTGAGTGGATTTGTTGTTTTTCTTTATATTCGTAGGAATTATTGCATGCAATTCCATTTGTCATCTAGTTTTTGCATTTCTAGTTCAATACACTCTTTAACTTCTTCTTCTGTTTTAGGATATTCTATAGAACTGTAGTGCTGAAAATACAAAGTATTCAATTTCCCATAATCTTCATAATGGTTGTAGAAGATACTATTAATAAAGTCTCTCAGATCCTTAACAGTTGGTCTGTTTTCTGGAATCGGATTCCGACATTTTTCAATTATAATTTGTATCACCATCTTGGTATTGTAGGTCGTACTCTTTTCTAGATGTCTAATACAAGAACATGATCATGGCTTCGCTCACCAAATGGTTGTTCAACTGTTACAATTTCGTACACAATCATTCCAAAGCTATAAATATCTGTAGCGCTAGTGTATGGCTTTCCATTTAACACCTCGGGACTCATATAAGGAAGTACTCCACAAAATTTCTTGGTTGGATCTTTTCTATATTTGTTAAAATAAAGCCCAAAATCAGCAATATTAGGATATTCAAACATTAATATTTTTTCCAGGATGAACGTCATGATGTACAAACTTTTCTTTGTGAATTATTGTTAGATCATTTGATAATATAATATGAATATATTAATTTATTATACTAATATAATTTTCGTAGTTGGAATTAATATATTTACGGAGATCACTATGTTCCGCATAAGTCATGACTATTGAGTATTCATTTGTAACTGAGTTTGTAGTTATTCCATAATATTTATAATCATTAATACAGCATTTAAACCCAATCTTAACCTATTTTTGAAAGATTTGATTGTTTAAAATCAAAAAGGCACCTTCACTTTAGAAAATGTTTATCCTTACTTCGTTTATAAACTCTGGAATAATTTGCTTTAAACTGTGCAATGATTTCAACACAACTTCACATAATTTACTACCTGTTAATTTATTTGTTTTATGACACCACGTGATATAGTATTCAGAATACAATGGCACAGAGGTTGCTTTATAAATTGACCCGAATCCACCTTTTGTAAGATATTCAACGCTGGTAAATCTTTCAAAAGGAATCCATTCGAATATAATAAAAAATTTTAATCAAATTTGGTACATTCTTTTATTAGATTGTAGATATCTTTATCTCTGCCAAATAATAATTCGTTTGTGATATTTGAAACAGTCACTGCAGGCTTATTACATTG